ATCCACAAAGAATAAAAATACCACACAGTTCTGTTAAGTCTGTTTTAATTTTCACGACAACCATCGAGTCTTACCCACTGTTTCTGAATTGTTTCCATAGGAAATTCTGGGAAAGGTTCATTGCCCTGTGTCACGAGAACGAAAGTCTTCACGGGATCACGTTTGAGCAGATCAAAGCTCAGTTGGAGGCTTTGGAGTTGAAGAAAACCTACGTGTTGAACCCTCTGGCTCCCGAGTTCATCCCCCGAGCTCTGCGGCATCAGCACTCGGCCAATCCCACCAAGCAGCAGCAGTCCCCTCCAAAGGTAAAGCATTCCCAGCCATGGGTTCTGGCAGAAGGGGAAGTGAATGCAGAGAAATGACAGAAAAGGTTTATGGACCAGGCTGTTTGTTTTAAAATTGCGTCAGTGCAATCAGAAACGAGCGCGAATTCCGGAGGGATCCGCGGCGTTTTCAGGTGAAAGCTCCAGACTTGTGTTATAATACAGCATTTAGGGTTGTCCAAGTCCTGTTTCCTTACTAAAACATACACCTTGGGTCACTCTGGCTTGTTCAATGGCAAACTTCAACCTCAAGGTTTAGATAAACCAAATTAAACCCTCTGACCGAGAGCTGATCCCTGTCACAGACACCTTGTGCTCTGCCTGTACCCCAAAGAAACACCAGGCAGAAGAAGTACAAGGAAACAACCAAACAATGGGCAAAAGGGATTTGGTTTGATTTTAAAAATCACATTTAAAATTCGGGGACTGGTATTACATCAGGTAATTTTTTGATGTAATTAGAAATATATTGTAAAGCTGTATCTTGCATAGATTAGCTCTGTGATAATGTCCTTCACAAGACCAGATTTCAGCAGCATCAAGAGGGCAGAGATATGAAATTACCTCTGAGTGGTAATTTCATCAGCTGCTTTATAAAAGCAGGTGAAGAAGTGATGAAAATATGTGGCTTCCTTAGGATGATAAGGAACAACACTAAATTTTAGAGCTTTCTTGGGGAGTGATATATTAGTAAATAATTCTATTTTAATGCTTCTTTGTAGTTTATTTGAGTTATAGTTGTAAAAATGTAGTTCATTTGAGTTATAATTTAATTAAAATGTGTTCAGAGATGCAGCTGAAATGCAGGTTGTCAACTTTGTGATGAACTCAGTTGCACAGGAAGGAAGAAATGTTTCCCATAGCTTTGCATTTGTGTTGCAGGCTGTATCATTGAAATGAAATTTTTACGACAGGTTTTTTAACAATACAAAAAGGAAAACCTTCCCTTTGGCAATTCTTCCCCAAAGAAGGTTTGTAAGTGAGAACGTTTGCTTTCTTCATCAAGATGCATTACTTTCTGAAACAAACACCAGATTTCTAAAGCATCTAGTCATGTGTCAAAACACTGGGCCTACAGAAAACCAGAAATTACAAAATTATCTTTAAAATCCACTGCTGCACTCTCCATTTTTCCTGAGTGCCTCAGCCTTGAATGCGTTTTCTTTAATAGAACATCATTATTAATACTTTTAGTTTCCTAAATGAAATAAAAAGAAGGTATTTGAAAATGCAGGTATAGTGCATTTAGGGAAAAAAGGGGGGTGGGTGCTGGGGGAAGTGAGAATCTTGTGAGTAGATGGCTCTGTTTATTTTCCCTCGGTTTGTTGGTAAACTGAGCCCTTGTGATGCAGGAATGCCAAGAGACACTTTCAAACTGCCAGCACTGTATTTTCAGCTTTAGATCTGAGGTGTCTAAACCCCCTGTGTCATGATTCTAAATAAAATCCTCTTCCCCCTGGATACAATTGCCAGGCAGTGTGTGCAGTACCAGCAGTGCAGCGAGCAGGTAACACCCAGCCACACACAGAATATGGCTGTGAGCAGGGATACATTTCCCTTTGCTCGAGTTTTAAAAGCAGATGGTTAGCTTTGCTTATTTTAGACCTCCTAAGTACAATATTTAACACTGGAAATGAAAGATTAAAATCCCAGTGCTGGTGTATTTTGTAGCGAAAAAGTGAGAAGAGCCTCTGACACCGTGTTTTGTGGTGAGTTTGTGGACATCTGTGCAGGGCAGGGCTCGTCTTTCACATGCTGTGAAAAGTGATTTTGAACAAACAGCACCTTCTTATTCAGCAGAATTGCTCCTGGATTTATGTAAGGGCATTAAAAACCTCCTTGCTGTTTAGATTTTAAAGAAGGAGAAATGTTTGAGTCTTGCCTCTGTGAGAGGCAAACCAGCCAACACAGAACAGGCTGTCTGAGGGCATCTGCCTTCCCCCGTGTTCCTGTGGCTTGGCTGGGCATGGAGGTGAGGAGGGAACAGCAGAGTTGGACAGGGACAGCCTTTATTGAAGGTGATGATGTGGAAAGGGAAAGTTTTCAGAACTCGGAGCTTCCCTCGGGGTAGTTCCCGTACAGTAAATTAGGCTCTGACTTCACAGCTTTGCCTCCCTCCCTCCTGCTGCCTCTGCTCCAGCTTTTGGTCTGGATTCAGGCACTTAGGTCAGGGAGCATCATCATCCTCCACATCTCCTGCAGTCAGTGAGGGCCACGGGTCTGATTACATCTCTGGAGAACACTAAAGGGGGATCCAAGGAGCTGTTAACTGCCTGCAGTCACCCAGATCTTGGTCTGAGCTTCCTCTGAGCACCTTTATGTAACATGGATTTCGATACTCCAGATGGGAGCAGGTTTTCAGAGCAAACCGAGTGTGTCTGTGCTCCTCTGTTGTCAGTCAGCATGAGTTCTAGTGTAGGTTTAGGGCTTTTTGGGGGGGGACCTGAACCTTGAGGTGAAAATCTTTGAGAAATGGCAACAATTAAGTTAATAACAGACTATTATAAAGTCATTAAGCCATCACAATTATGCAAAGAAAAAGATCAAAGAAAGGCAGCACCTCCCTTCCCCAGCTTACAGGTGGCCCCAGTTGACTTTTATTTACCATTCTGGTCCTGGGATATGTTCATACTGTGGCATGTCCTGTTCAACAGGACAGCTCTTCTTACAAACTTATGTAACTATTTGCTGTTTCAGTTTTAAAAATATGACACGTATAAAATACAAGTCTAATAGGTTAGAACAGAGGTTTTTCAGATTTCTACACTTAGAGCTTCACTGTGACAGTAAAACAGATACAGAAATGCCTTGTGCTGACCATGAGTGATTGAGGCATGTAGCTCCTCTATGTTTTTAGATTGAACCTTGCTCTGTTTGATGAATAAACAGGCTTCTTTGTTTAAGTGCTGCAGTGAAAAGCAATTATTATTTTATTTTTCAATAATTCATTTTTAAAATGAGAGGAAGATTCGGAGACCAGTTCTTTAATCTGGTTTATGCATGAGTCAACATTGTCAAACAACCTGTCTTTGTACCCTGACTAATTTGCTCAGACTGCTGGAAAACTGCCTAGACTTATCTCCTGGGCAGGGAAAGTTTTGCAGCATCAAAGCCTTTTTAGATTTATTTTAAATTTGTGAACATACTTAGGTCCAGATTAAGTAAAGTATTGCTCTGCTGCAAAGGACTTAAGAGCATACTGGCACTTGAATATGTGCTCACAGTTTATGAATATTAACTAATTAGTTGATCCTGGAAACTCATGAGCATGCAGGAGGAATAACTGAGTTCTGTTAAAATCCTTTTCTAATGTACAATTCACCAAGGAAAAACAGTTTCCCCAGAGCACTGTGGTTCTTGGCTCTCTTATATTGTGCTTTTGGGGAGCAGTCACAGAGGAGCCACAGTCCAAAGGCCAATAGATGGGATGGGACAGGGAGACAATGTCTGATGAGGTTGGGTGAGCAATTGGGTAAAACTGGGAGAAGCTGCTTTGTCTCCAAGGTTCTTGAGCTGGAACCTGGTGGGGAAAATGGATCATCCTTCCACTAAGAGCTGCTATGGCAGAGGAATACTGAGGATTATGTTGGTACTGGATGCTGCTCCTGGAAAAAAGTGAGACAGTGGAGAATGAAATGGTGAGGAAAGAAACTCAAAATATTTGCTGGAGCTCTCTTTGCTTCTGGAAACAGACCTTGGGAGAGTTTTCCCAGAGGGACTTGTAATGACCCACTGATTAATTGGATTAGTGGTATTTAATGTCCAGCTTTGTGAATTCAAAGTGTCAGGTGATGGACCTGGACAGGTGAATGTGTAAGAATAAACTGCTGGGCTGACTTCTTTCAAGCCCCATTTTGTGTTTAATTATAGTGTTCACTTGAATAAACAGCTTTGGTTTATATAATAATGCAAAACATTGTAATCATTGTTTTTTTCCTTTAAAGGGTAAGGTCCACCATCATAACCAGAATGACCATTTCCCACCTGATGGAATGGGTAAGTACCTGCTGCTCCTGGAGGAATTCCTGAGCTCACACTGATTTGGCTTCAGTGACATTGATACTAGTTTGATATAAATGGAATATCTGGTCCCTTCTTTATTCGAAAGTCATTTGCTTCTTGTATGCATCTGGGAAACAGATTATAGGCTGTTAAATTGACATTAGATATTTCTGAGGCTTTCCCTTTATAGGTGTTGTGTGCACTGATTTTGGAGCTTTAACACAACATAATTGTTGGCCTCTTAAAAATGGCTGTATTTGAAATTCATACTGTAAAACCCTGTCCCAGTGTATTTGCACTAAAAGGGTTTGGACATTATATTGCAGACACTTTTTATGGAGTACTTTGAACTTAAATTGTGCTGTCATATATCCAGATATTACCGATGATACCTTTGCAAGGTAGCATACCACAGCTGAATAATTTTGTTATTAATTTGAAAAAGCATTAATTTAAAGCTTGTCTTCCCTGCTAAAGAAAAGAGGGTGATTTTAGTTTTTGATGCAGTGCTTAACAGCTACTCTGACTGTCAGCATATTTAATTGGTTTGGGATGTTCTCTCATTAATGCACTTACCAGATACCTGTTTCTCTGTATCTCAACTCATATTTTCTGCCTCTTCAAATTTTTGAAATGGAATACAGGATTTGATTAATGCTTTATCTTGGTGTATCAGACCTGTGCTCTTAGAGAGTTTCACACAGGCTTTATAAAGATAGATGCTATCAGGATGGAAAAAAAAAAGAAGAAAAGGGAAAAGAAAAGAAAAAAAGAAAGAAACGGTGGCTTCATGTTCTTTTTGTGTATATATCTTATTTTTTTGTGTATATATATTTTTTTTTTTGGTCTTTTTTTTCAGTTCAGCCCAATCCTTCTGTTCTAATTGGAAATCCTATCCGAGCATTTACTCCTCCCCCTCCTCCTCTGGGACCTCACCCCAACCTGGGGAAATCTCCAAGTCCTGTTCAAAGGATAGATCCACACACTGGGACAAGTATTCTCTATGTACCTGCTGTCTATGGAGGAAATATGGTCATGTCTGTGCCTTTGCCTGTAAGAATTAATTTTGTGTTTTCCCCCCAACCCTCTCCTCAATTATTGTATGCACCAAATATATGGGAAAATCAGATAGTGAATTTATTGCAGGTTTATTCAGCACTTTACTTCAAATATATGAGCTTTGCTGGCTTTAGGAGTGGCAGTGCAGAGGACCACCAGAAAATAGGGACTTTAAAGCTTTGCTCCCACAAAATAACTCCAGACAGCCTAAAAGCAATTCCATGTTCATGTAATTTGGTGTGTTTTAGGCACTCCAGTGGAATCTGTGTGCCGTGACTCGAGACACCTGCCTCTGAATTATTGGCCCAGTTCAGCTCTTAATCATCAGAGAGACATCAGTGATTCACCCCGAGTTTGTTTCTCTTTATTGGCTTCACACAGTCTAAATTACCAGTTTTGGAATTCTGCAGTGCAAGGTGTCTGAAGTGAAGTGATAAGAAAAATAAGCATAATGGGATGTTTTTCCCTTCCAGAACCTCGTAGTGAACCAGTTTCCTCTCCAATCCCTTCCCTTAATGACATTTGGGAACAGAATGAAGATCTCTAATCAGGTCTTTTAGGCTACATTTATGCATGGAATTTTGGATTACAGATCAGACTGTCCCTCCAAAATTGACACAAATTAAAGAAGCAGCCTCTGCTTTATTGCTGCCCTTCCCAGTCACATATTCAGGAAGGAAAATGCAAGGAAAGAAGAAAGGCTGCAAAAGCTTGTAACGTGTCTGTGTTGTGCACAACTCCTGAAAACTGTGGGAAGGACATGGAATTAAACACATGCAGATGTGTTTAATTCCTTTCATAATGCTAAATGTTGGAACACAGTTAACTTGTTTTTTTTTTTCAATAATCGTGAGTCCTCTGTTGTAATTTGGGTTATGGGTGCTGAATAGGGGACTTGCTGTAGTTTCAGTTGCATGTCTTAGATCAGCTGGCAGCTGTAAATTGGTTTTCTTTGCTAGGCCAAGGAGTTTTCCTTTTTCCAAGCTTACTAGAAATCTACATTTGATGAGTAAATTTAAATGCAATGAGAAGGCCAGCAGCTGCATCTTTGTTATGCTTGCTCACATTATATTAATATCAAACCAAGGTAATTTAAAAAGCTCTGCCTTATTGTTCCAAGGTTAATATATTTTTTATGTATTTCCAATCAAAAGAAATGTATTAAAAATAAGTATTTGGAGCTCACCTTCCCTGAGGATGGATTTTTAAATAATTAAGTGGGAAGACTGAGGTACTAATGAGACAGCTACATTTGAAAAGAGGCTCAGAGATGATTTGAGGTTGTACAGATGCAAGAGCAGCCTAAAGCTAAAGTTCAAAGTGCACATTTCAAGGGCAAATAGTAATTTAAAAAAAGAGTTGCGTGAAAGTTGTTACACTTGAAACAAGTAGGGACTGAAATAAAATGTGTTTATGTTCATGCAAGATGAAATGATGTCTTTGCTTTGTTTAATGCAGTTCCCATAGCCAAGGTAAAAGCAGGAGGAGGTTGTGTGCTGTCATCACTAAGGGATGCTCTGGCAGCCTGAGTGGTGATTACTCTCCCTGCACTCGCCTCTGATTCATGTATTTTCCTCCTTTTAATAAATTCCCTACAGGGAGAGATTGAACTAATTTGATCCAGAGCTGTCTTCCTTTGCATTCCTTTCAGGAATAAAACTGAAACTGTTGTAAAAAAATCCAGACTTTTATTACCTGCTTTCAGGAGGTGGATTTTACTTCAAATGTGCAATTCAGATGTAGCACAGACACTTTGGAGCAGCCCTGTCGTTCCTCACTTATGGAGGGTCTTGGATTGTCCCAATAGTCCTGTTACCTTCACTAAGTGTCTCCTGGGTGCAGAGGAATGGCCTGGCTGCTCCATCAGTGGTACAGAATCACAGCACTGGATGCTAAAAGGTCTGTTCCTCAAGTCAGAGGCTTCTCCCCCCCAAGCCACAACCCAATGTCTCTTAACTACCGGGAGAAACAGATTTTTGTTTTCTCGACCTTCATCCATGTCTGTTTAATCAGAGAAGAGATTAATCTAAAGTTTATTGAACTACAATTTGTCCATCAGTCTTTTCTCTCAGAATTTTGAAACCACTGAAAAAACCATGGGTTTTGATACAAAATTTTTTGCCCAGGATTGTCCTCCGAAATCTTTGCTGCCCTTAGAGCTCTCCCTTTCCAGCACCAGCTGTAGTTGTGTGTGAGTGTGTCAGGTCATCTGATGCACAGAAAACTGTTGTTTGACCTAATATCAGTGTGCTTGTTACTTCTGTGCCTTTAAAGTAATTTAACAGGTTGCATCTCTCTCTTTTTTTATTTTTTTTTAAATTTTTTTGCTGTGTAGGTACCATGGACGGGGTATCAGGGTAGGTTTGCAGTCGACCCTCGACTCATTACTCATCAAGCAGCTATGGCATATAATATGAACCTGTTACAGGCACATGGGCGTGGGTCTCCTATCCCTTATGGCCTGGGGCATCACTCTCCAGTTAACATGGGACAGCAGCAGCTCCAGCATCAGGAAAAGGAGCAGCATGAACAAAGTCGAAATGGTCAGTGGTTGAAATGGTCTGGTTTTGAGAAAATTGGTCTGGTTTTGAGAGTTTGTGCTTTAAATTACTTTATGATTGTACTTTACAATATCCTTTAAATAAGGTATTTTGGAAGGGATTTCCCTTCCTACCTCCTTTCCTTCCTTCACCCTTTCCTCCCTGATCGAGGGATCTGCAGAGTTGGAGAAAGAATGTGAGATTTGCCATTACAAATAGAATAACTCAGATACTGTGAGATTCAGAGGAGGAAGTAATGGAAGTTGGGGAGGGGTGTTGAGAGTATAATTGTTCCGTCTCTGTTCTGCAGTACAGTGCTAACAACTGCTGATGTTATTTGCAATTAAGTTGGAAGAACTACTTAGTGATGATTAATGAACAAAGTGCAGAGATTAAAGGAAAAGTGTTATTTAGGTAAATGATATTAAATGTCTGTGATGCTGTAAATGCTATACTAATAAGTCTAAATTTTCCTGTGTCTGGCAAAAAAAACAAACCCAAAATAATAATTTTTCTGTTGAAACTAAATGATTTTGTAAATGTTTTTAGGTAAAAGTGAAAATGCTGCTGGACCTGAAATCAGTAAAATTCGAACGCCTGAGAAGAAACCTCTGGAATCCAAGCAGGTGGGTTTCTCTTGTCTGGGTTTGTGGTTTGGTTTTGGGTTTGTTTGTTTATTTGTTCATTTGGTTTTGTGTGTTTGTTTTTTAATATTCTCTCTTTTAATGAGCTTAGTCATTACTGAAATGGTTTTGTTTGTTTGGTTGGGTTTTTTTTAAATGTGGATTTTCAGAAGTTTTCCTTCTCTTTTCTCCAGGTTGATTTAGAAGCCAATTCCCAGCAGAGGAGCCCCGAGTCCCGTCCCGGTGTTGGTTTTCCCAACGCCAAATTCCATCGCAAAGAGAATCCCAACCCCAGGCAGCTGAACCTCCACCTCACCCCACCCCACTCCCAGTTTGCAGTTCCCAACCGCCACTTCCAGCACCTCTCCCAGCTCCCAAGGCAGCCGTACCCTCTGCAGCAGCAGCAGCAGCAAAACCTTTTAAGTCAGCAGCAAAATCACTTGCCTGACCAAGCAAACCAAATGCCTCCCCAGCAGAGCCAGGTAGTTCAGCAGCATAACCATTTGAATCAGCAGCCTCCACAACCTTCACAGCTTTCCCCTGCTTACCAGGCAGGCCCCAGCCAGTCTTTTTTTAATAATCCAATTCCCCACCGACCACATTCTCCTGCTGTAGATGCTGTGATTTCAGAACAACACCCCCCACCTCTGTTACAAGAAGTCAATAATCCTTTGAGGCCTCTTGCACAGCACAACCCCGTTCTGCCAACCCACTTGAACAACTTCATTGAAGAGAATCCATCAGGAATGCCCTTAGGGGACACTTTAGGTAGGTGACTTTTCTTTATTTAAATTCAGAGTGTGCAATTATAACTACACTGAAGTGAAAATGAAGGAGGTATTTACCTTTTTCAGGCATATTGCTCTGAATTGGGTCATTGTTGGGTTAGTTTCCATAAGTAATGTCATTGAGCATAATTTGCTGCTTCAGGCATGTTTGAATATTCAGCACTTTATTAGAAGATTCATGTTTATATGATTTTCCATATGATTTAAATAACCAGGTTATACACTGCAATGCAGTTAGTATATAATAGGCCCTGGAATATACTGTTTAAAAAGTATTCTTTTTTTTTTTTTTTTCTTTTTCTGACATAAAAGATCTTTAAAAAAGGGCATTAGATAAAATTTTTTTTTAAAACTATTTTTGTAGATCGTATGCATGGAAATGTAGCTTTGGAAACAATAAGGCAGCAACAACAAGCCAGGTTACAGCAATGGAATGAACATAATGCCTATCTCAGTCAAGGCACTATTCCATATCAACACCATCACCATCCTCATCTACCACATCTTCCTCAGCAACCAATTGGATTACATCAACAGCAGCAAGTTAGGGCAAACTGGAAACTTGCCAGTAATACAGAAGATGAAACAGAGGCAACATATTCAAGGTATTTGTTTACTGAGTCATCAGAGCTTGTGTAAAATTGAGCAGTGGGCACCTATCTGTAACAGTGTGATCAAGTGCAAGGCACTTAAAGGTATTGCTTTTTGCTGCTGTTATTATGAAGGTTAAAATAGTTGGCAGGCTGACTTACAACTGTGCTTTTATTATGTGTTATGCTTTGTTCTGTTAGTATATTGGGTAGTAAAGCTGTAGTGGAAAAATATTTTCGTGGAGCTTTTCAGTGTTGTGTTTATGGAGTAAGGAATGGGTAGAGAGTAACAACCTTGTGTTTCTATAAAAGAGGCGTCTGAGTGTAGTTAAGGCCTATTTAAGTTGTAAATTCTTCAATTTGAAGGTGCAAGTCTCAGATTTACGTGCTTGGAAACAAACAAACCGGCCCCTCCCCAAACATTGCTCCCCAGTGAAACCTAAATTTTTCTTTTCAAAAACCCTTTGCTTTTAAAAGCAAAAAAATGCTTATATTTGAGATGGAGCATTAGGGGGCAAGAAAGGAAGCGGTTGAATGTCAACAGAGAAATGGTTCCAGTGGTCATCAGCTTTGATCATGTATATTGTAAAGGCTGGATTTTTAAATTGCCTCTGTTTACTGTCATCTCCCACTATGCTTTCTTTTCCATCTGGGTTGTTAGAGCCATGGTAAAGCATCTAAATGCCCTCTTATCTGACTCTTTGAAGTGCTGAATTGAATATTCTTGACCTTTGGAAGAAGTCTGAAGGTATATTGTGCAAGTGAGGGGAATCCTTGATTGGTCTGGCTTTTGGCTTGTAAGGGGTTAAAATTTTCCTTAACTATGTGAACTTTTTACCCTGTGTAGTAAAGCAGGAAATCCTTCCCTTAGTTGTCTCTTAAGAGATAACAAAAATTGATTCTTCTGACCGAAAAGGAAATCTCAAGAGTTATTAAAACTTTGAGATGATTCAGGTGGGTATTTCATCCAATTAATCCTCTTGTGCCTGATTTCTGATTTTGCTCAGTCCCATCCTTTGAAGTTAGGGGTCAGTAAGCCCAAAGATGAGAGAATATTTAAGTTCAGTGGTTTGTGCTCTTGAGTTTTTTCCGCCTCAAAAAAGAGTGGGATTTCAGCAAAACTTTTTTTTTTCTTTTTTTTTTCTTGATGCATTTATTCTGTCAATGCAGATTCCAGGATTTGCTCCGAGAACTGTCCCACCGTGATCCAGGTGAAAGCCGGGACTTGGCCGAAATGCCCCCCCCTCAGTCGAGACTGTTGCAATACAGACAAGTGCAGCCCCGGAGCCCACCAGCACTCCCTTCTCCTTCCTGCAACTCCAACCACAGTGCTCACTTCCCCACCTTCACCGAAAACAACAGAGACATTGAACTGCCCAGTAACCCAGCATTTCAGCAGCATTTACCCCAAATATACAACCCCCCTTTCTCAATGCCATCCGAACATATAACCCCGTCTCCCTTGAAATACCTGCAACCTGATGGATCCTGGACTTATGCTAACCTACAGCAGAACCACCTTATGGGGCAGGGCTTTCACTATGGGATACCTCCACTGCCCCACAGGTCGCAGCAAAACCCTTTTATACAAATCCAGAACCATCAGCACGCGGTCGGTCAGGAGCCATTTCACCCCCTCGCCTCTCGAGC